AAATGAACAAAAGGGAAAAAAAGAGAGACAAACCAAGAAATAGACCCTCAACTACAAAGAACACACTGGGGGTTGGCAGAGGGGAGGGGGGCGGGGGATGGGGGAGACAGATGAAGGGATTACAGAGCACACGTACCATGATGAACACTGAGTTGTTGAACCACTATACTGTACACCCGAAACTAATAGAACACTGTATGTTAACTACACTGGAATTAAAATAAAGACTTAATTAAAAAGGGGCTCCTGGCTGGCTCAGTCAGAAAAGCATGCGACTCTTGATCCTGTGGTTGTGAATTCAAGCCCCTCATTGGGTGCAGAAATTACGTTTAAAAAAAAAACAAACCTTAAATTAAATTTTCTAAGAAGTTACTCAACAGTCAATCAACCAGGACATAAGCTGTGTATTTCTATAAAGTTTATAATGCTACTGACCTTTGCCATTAGGGGACGTGCCTATTGCAATAACATTCTTGCCCGCTCATTCAGAGAGCTGCAATTCTATCTTGCAACAATGTTTCGATTACCTATAAAGTTTAATTTACTGTGGACATAAGACCTAATGAATAAATGTTAAAACATACTGACTCAGTTCAAGGAAACCACTGCAAGTCAGAAACCCAAGTTCATATACGAGCCCAACTGAGACGAGACACGTCAGCGGAGCAGCATTAGTCAGTCGTTAGCACCGTTATACCTCACAAGTTCTCTCTCTAGGTAGCTAATCTCTAATTATTATTATTATGAGTCCTTTCTCTGCACTATGCTGTTATCCAAAGTGCTTTGATAGCTCTCAAATATCACTGGTAATGGACAAATCACAGTAGCTTCTTCTGCAAAAAGAGCACCACGCTAAGGATACAAAAAGACCTTGCTATTTCTAAATACAGCCACAGAAATTATCTTTCCATTTTAAGACTGAAAACTGCATCCACCAGCTACGTATTTTAGTATCCCTAAACTGCAAAACGTTTGCTCCCTACCTTCACCTAAAGATCACAGGATCTGGGCATTCTGATTTCTGACTCCCTCCTGACACTCCTCTTCAACTCTGCCCGTTGTTTTACAGAGTAAGACGGAAAGCTTTCAGCTTCTCCTTCCTGTCACTGCCTCCCAGGCCCTCTGGTCTCGTGCAGACTTCTCCGGAGCTGCCCGTTCTCGAGCTCCAGAGCAGCATTCCTGTCCAGCTCGCGTCACCTGCCCTGTTCCAGGTCTGCCCCGTGCCTCGAGAAAAGCTACAGCTCTTGGTAGAAACTCCCAGGCGTGTCTGTGCAAATCTGAGAATCCCTCTGTACTTCTTAAGGGCTTTATTCTTAAGAGAAAGGCCAAAACTCTCACCCCAGCCCCGCCTCGGACACCCTTACCTCCTCGCTGCCCTCCATATACCAGGCTATTAGCGCTGCCTTGAAAACTGCCGTGGTAACCTCCTCCTGGACGCCTGCTTCCCGCGCATCCTTCACTGGCCTCCACGCACTCCCAGGATCTCAGCTGAACAGCGCTCGCTCGGGAGCCTCCACCCAGGCCCCCCAGACTCCCGTGCTGGCTCAGGCCCTGTGTGTCCGCAGACCCGGCACCTCGCCCCCAGGGCCCCGCCATGGTCAGTCACAGTGTGTGACTCTGTAATTAATGCCCATCTCTTCCCCGGGAGGGGACACCCCATGCCCCTCGGCACCGTTCCCCTGGCTGGCACACCGTAGCTCACAGGCGCTTAGAAAAGTGACCCGGGACCCACGGGACCAACGACCAGCCAGGCGTAGCACTGGGGTGTGAACTCGGGATCTGAGGCAACCTGTTCTGTGCCCCACACCCCCAGCTCCACTGCACTATCGTGAGCCAACGACATAGAGCGCCCCTCACTGAAGCCCTCTATCATCCAGGCGCCACTGCCAAGCACAAACCAGAAATGGGAAGAAAGATTACTCGAGGCCAGAGTAGGTCTGGTGGGAAACTATTCAGAATTTATCTGTAGTAAGTGCACATGCGGCCAAGGGTGAATTAAATGGAGCTCTGATCAATTCTTACAGCTGATCTGACTCCTTGAAAATACAGCCAGAGCACATCATTTATATTTTGACATCATAAACCCTTAGATTTGTGATTATTAATTTTTAATAATTTAAAGTTATATTCCTTTTTATCAATTACAAAGTTCTGGAATTTTTAGTAGCAAGTCCTACTAAACTAATATACATTTATTGCACACACACACACATAATTAGAAATCATCCATAGCAGCCCAAGCTAAAAACAAAAGGGCGAAACCTGAGAAGTCAACCAGGGAATAAACCGCTGACTTCTGAAACATAATACAGGGTAGAAAGAACTAACATCTCAATATTAGAATCCTCCTTCCATGATACCAATATGAAGCTATAGTTTCTTTTCTCCTTTTAATTTAAAAAGATTTATTTCCATCTGACCATGTGAAATTGATGTAATTGCCAATTAGAGACCCACACAATTATTTTGCCAATCAATTTATATTTCTACTTAACAAGCCTGACAGCAACTTTTAAAAGAAACATTATGAAATATTTTTCAATTAAGTAAAGAATTATTTAACAGATAAATATTCTTAATGGGGCTCTCTTGTGGTTTTAAATAAGCTGAGCACTTGATTAACTTCACAGGCTTGTTTGGCACAACAGTAATTTTTACAAATGGGATAGAATGGAGGGATCATAAAGAAGGAATTAATCACAGAACAATCGGTGCTTCAGTCACATGAGAGCTCTTTATTCATATTAGTTAAGTTGGAGAATGAACTGGCTATTACTACCATAAAATACACTCAGGTCTTCAAGATCACCGTGCCCATGCTCTGACACGTGCTACAGCTTCGCACTTCCACCTTCCAGGTACACAGAACGCCTACCGGGGTCACTGTTTAGAGCTAGATTTTATATCATTAGCAGTCTTAAGGTAATGACAGTTAACATCCCAGACGCTGGAAAACCAGCTCTCGTACAAGGTTCCCCAAACACCTAACACTTCTCGGTATATAGAGCATATGCAGCCTGGAAAACCCAGCGAGGGAGTCTCCATTTGAACAGGAATTTGGTTCAGTATTTGCTGGGCTTTGGGAGGTCCCGGGGGTACAAAGATCAGTCCCCCGTTTTCAAGGACCTCAGTCTGGGGAGGGGCATAGAGCATCAGTGGTGCATCAGTAAGGAGAAGCTGGCTCGATGGGGGCTTCATCCACAGGGGGTGCTGGAGCACTCCAGGGAAACGGAACCCTTCTGGGGGCCGGTCACTCCAGGATGCTGGCACCGTCCTGCCGCCGAGATCACCCAGTGATATAAAGCTCGTCCGTGGAACATGCCTCACCCAAACCGAGGACATCTTCGTGCTGATTGTAGAAGGAGGGCTCACAGCACAGAGCTCGGTGGGAAGACAATGGCTGTGCCCACAGCAAAGGGTGACTTTTACATGGATAATAAAAGTGATTCAATTGTATCAGCAATGTAATACTAAGAAAAGGCCAGGTGATGTTTAGATCCTACAATTCTATACAGAGAGCTTTTTAAAATACTTTCTTACTGAAAGTTCTAAAGGCCATTTTGTTCACGAACCTAAAATTCTTTTCTCCCACCGAAACTATTTTTTAATGCAATTGTGATGAGTAGGGCTCTCAGGACACAATAACTGCTTTGTAACGGAATAACAATGGCAAAAATTTATTGAATACTTACTGTGGGCCCAGCTCGAAGTGCTCAAACAACCCTTTTTATCTTACTTGTGAAATACAACAAAGTCAATGCATATGACAAAACATACATTGGCAAAGCATTATGAACAAAAATGAAAATAATTCAACATCAAAATGTCCTATGTGGGTAGCTTCCTAGAACACATTACTTACCAAGGGATTTGGATTAGAGGGGGAATACTTTATAGCTCCTCATGGCCATTTCCAAACTCTTTTTATTCCAGTATCTAAGGGAATTCATTCGAGAGACTCATGCCATCGGGTCTGACCACCCACTCTCCCACCTGACTGCCGTTACTCTTACTAGGACGGTCATGGCACCCTTCAGAACAGATGGAGTCATGACTTCTCTGCTTCCTAGCTGGGCTCGTGAGCAGGCACTGAATTTCTTTCAGCCATGGTTTCCTATGTGGAAAATGGGGATAACAGTAATTCTGATTTCCTAGGGCTGTTAAGATTAAATAAGGTCCCACGTAGCCTGCACTTAGCAAAGTCGCACCACACACAGTGCTCCTGCGACCACGTGTGGGATGCATGGGTGTGTGCGTCCGAAGGCATACAGATCGGCCCGGAACTCGGTGCGATAGTGGCTGGAGAAAGCGTGAGAAACAGTCTAGTGATCCTGAGAACCAAGTGGTCTGAGACTCTCCAGTGGGGAGGCCGAGGGTCTGGGGTCACTGACAATTAATCAGAAATAAGCAGGGACTGCCTTTGGCATGGGAAACTTGGATTTCCCCATGCTCAGCAGAGAATTTACATTATTATTCTCATACTTGCTTCTAAACTTAAATAATGAAACTAAATCTTTCTTGATGAAGGCAAATTTTCAGAGAATAAAACCTACGTCATGACTTAAAACAAACACCGTAACAGTTTAAAAAGTAATGTCAGTATTACACAAAGAATGGAGCAACCCTAAATCTCTCATTTAGCAAAGTACCTTTCAAGCCAGCGATCTACGCAGCAAATGTTGGAGCAGTTACTAAAAGCTCAGCAAGGATTCTGAATTCCTAGGAAGGGCTGTTGGAAATCCGCGGGAGCGCCCCACCCCCCCACCCCCGCCCTCCCACAGCACTTCCCGGCCTCTCCCTGGACACTTCCATGGCACGTCCCCGCTGGGGCGGAGCAGTCGCTGAGGGCAGGCAGTCCTCCTCCCTCCGGGAGATCTCCTTCCGCAAGCTTGGTACCAACTGCCAAATCCTCTAGTGACGGGAAACAAATTTCAACCTTCTTTAAAAGAAGTAATGGGCACGGAGGGGAAAACCAAAAGACCAGCACGGCACGGCAGGAAATCTTTATAAAGAGTCTAAGTGCTTTTATTACGAGGGTGCAAGGCAGCATTTCATCCAACACTCACCAACAGCAAACCGGCATCTTCCATAAAACACTTCCAGAAAGTTCAAACAGGAAAATGAAAAGATACATTATCTGTAATGATTCTCGTACAACAGTGTTTAGTGTTGAAACTTCATGTCACTCCAAGAAAGTGTAATCATTTTCTAGCAAACGTGGCAAAAAAAAGTTTGCTGCTTTATTTTGTTTGCCTACAGACATATCAGAACATGCCTCACAATTAAAAACTTTTTTTTACGGCACTCCATGACACCAATATCTATTCGTGCTTAGTTAGGATCAGCCAGTTGTACCAAATACCAGAAAATACAAAATGATAGGAAATATAAACATCAATTTGTATTTCAAGTTTATAACATTTTATTTACAAAAATAGGCCGGGAGGAAAAGGGTTTGCAGCCCCATATTCTTTCCTGGGGGGACTATTTTGCGTCATCTTCTCCATTTTTTCCCTAACGATTTTTAAAGTCACAGGTGAATTCCTCCAGAATTCAATTCGCCAACTAGAAGCCGGGGAGGCAAGGAGGGGGGTGGGCGGGGGAGGCAGGGGGCGGGGAGGGAAGGGCCGTCGGACAGCGGGTACACGGATGGCGTGCACTGAACTGCCTCATGCACTCGGCGACGCAAGCACGCTTCTCGACAGCGACACCAAACGCCACTATTTACAGGAGCTGCGGTCTCGTGTGGGCCCTGACGGTGGCTGCTCACCGGCGCGACGTGACCGGGTGACCGTGTCGAGGCGGACACTAAGACATGACTCCGAAGACGGGGTTGTGGCGGCAGATGCTGGGGCCATACTCCTCGTAGTCCTTCTTGGTGTGGCACACCTGGAAGAACTCGGGCTGGGGGGCAGCGGTTAGAGGGCATCGAGAGACCTTCCCGAAAGGAGGTCAGAGTCCTACACCGTGACGCAAGCCAGAGACTCCCCTGACCCGGCACCCCACTCCTTAGCCAGACTGCCGCGGGAAGGTCTGCGCCCCTCCGAGGCCGGAGCTACGAACCAGGACTTCATTTCATTTCTTTAAAATGTACTCAGCCCCCACTTAGGACCAGCTACATGCTCACCCTAAATTAGCAATTCACTAGTTATTCACAAATTTGAGGAGAAAAAGGAATAATTACTTGAAAAAGTCACTGGAATTAATGATTAATGCAAGATGATCTGAGGTTGTTTCTGGATTTCACTTATCCATATTACCTGTAACCCCTAATTAGCAAGGATTAGCCATGCAACTGAAATTACCTCTAAGACATTTTTTCTATCTCCCGGAACTAAAAGTGCCACACACAATTCGAACACACACTATTTAACCTTCACAGGACAATATTTATTCAAACTCAACAAAGAACGCAGAAATGAAAATACAGAGCAATCTAGAAAAGGACTTACAGTTGAAGCAAGCATGGAGCCTCCAAACCACACCGCGTAGCGCTGCATATGATGCGTTATCACCTGAACCTCCACAGGCTTCGGCTGGAAAGTAGAGTAACATAGGGTCACTCGCCAGGCCAGACGACAGGTCACCTGATAACCTCTCCGCAGACGAGCACAGCTCCGCTCTGAGTGCCAACCAATGTGGGGCCTCCTCCCAGCTGATGGCACAAGGCCCTTTCCTTGTGCTCAAGTCCCTCTGTGGTGGCATCAGGCACATGTGGCTCTGAAAGGAAGCGTCTGAGCCACTCCCATGGCCAAATCCACCCAGGCCCGGCCCCTTTCCGGGTGGTGCAGGGAACAAAGCACACCAGTCAAGGAGGGTGTGTCGTTCACAACGCTAAAGGCATTTTTAAACAGTAAAAAATCCAAGCAACTAACCCAACTGATTTTTTTTTACTAAACAAATTAGACGTTTTAGCATCGTAGAGCTAATTCCAAGTAACACTACGTGTCCCAAAGCTACTGTGAAAATGACCCTTTGCCAAGAGTGTGATCCGCTAGGTTAAAGGGTGCATGTTTGCTCCCACTTACCCCACACCAGAGCCCTGTCCTGCTTGGAAGCCCAGGGAACATCACCCGCTCATTAAGAACGATCACCTCAGAGGAACACACTGAAACTCCCTGCTACTATTGGTTATTGTCGTTTAATGAGAACGTTTCCCAAGGACGTGAAGCCCCTCACAGCACATGAACCCCCTTCTCCCTAGATGCTGGTCATCACACAACAGACCCCATCTCTCGCAAGGCAGAGAAACCGGCAGGCGCAGGTCGGCGTGGGTGCCAGGCGGCTGCTGCCAGCCCAATGGCCCTTGGCCTTAGCAACACTTGGAAGGAGTCAGACAGCAAATCTCCGAACATAATCTCACGATGCAGCTGAGACAGTGCCTCGAACCTGTTCCGACTTCAGGCCCCCGCCGCTCGCTCATCGGTCGGGGGGAGACCAGCCGTGGGAGGGGGGCAGAGCGGCCAGGCTAGCGTGCCCGTCCTGCCCGCCCCCTACCTTGATCCGGCCTCCGCTGAGCTCCTCACTGAGTCTCAGTCGGGCGTCCACCACTCGTTTCAGGTCTCTCTGCAGCCGACGTCCAAAGTCCCTGAACATCGTCGAACCTCCTGAAAGAACGACATTCTAAAAGACACAAAGCAGAGGGGTTTCCTTTGATGAAATCACCCACCCACGCCATCCTGGTAACCCGCCCCTGCTCCTGTGAGCAACACCCTGTGACCCACGTGGGAAGATGAAGCTGAAGCAAAGTCGCTGCTGTCAAAGAGCGCCCACCGTGTCTTGTTCCCGCGCCACAGATTCGGCCTCTCGGTACTTTTCCTCAACGAGAACCAAGCAAAAGCAGAAATTCTGCTCCAAGTGCTCCTTCAGTAATGAGAGAACTTCACAAGGACCAGGAGGCCAAAACGCACTATGAACCAACAAACTGACCTGCTAGAATCATCTAAGGCCAAAGGAACAGTGGATCTTTAGTTATTTTGCCTTGATAATTACGTGGTGGGGGGGAGTCTTCCAATTAATACTTGAACCTTTTCAGAAGGGTGAGGCCAGGGAGGGAGGGTGCCTTTGGGAGCCACTGGGAGCTGCCCACTGGCCTCCACCACTCACATTCTGCTCGGTGGCCAACAGAAGCCTGCGGGGGGCCGGGGGCTTTACTAAATCTCATCAGATTTTGATGAGAGACAAATGTGTTCTTTCACGCTACAGGATATTATTTAGGACAATGAAAGAGAAAGTAGGCATATCCTGACAATTTTTTACAGAAAACATCACTTGAGAAAACTGTACAGAAGGCTCCTTCCCGGAGCCAGAAAGCCCTACTTCATCAAGACCCCGCAGTGACACTAAAGGTGTGGGACCTACCCCTGCTCTGATCCCGGCAGGGACTGCAGGACTCCTCCAGTAAGCTCCGTCCCGACAGTCAATCCCTCCCCACATGGAACAGAAGGGCGAAGCACACCTTCCTGTCCCCACTGGCCCAGATCACAGGTGACATGACATGGCGTTAGAACACCCCTTTCCTTACCGCTGCCGCCCTTGCGAACAGCGAGCCCAGCACCCACTTAGACCCGGGACGAGACAGGTGAGATCAGAGATGGGACGAGACAGGAGCAGGGGCCAGGAGAGGCCACTGGTGATCCTGTCTCCTACCTGGACCCACGCCAATTCCACCCCTGAGGGTCTGCACAGAGAAATGTCACCTTCATGACCTATCAGCAGACTGCCATCAATCAGAGCGCACCCTCCAGTCACTGGGCTGAAGAGAACTGCCAGAGGCTGAGGCTTTCACGGGGCCTTAGCTGGGGATGGGCCAGGGGAAGCCATCAGCAAGCGGCCACCAAACTGAACTCACATCTTCTATCACCTTCAAAAGTCTCATGTACAAGCTACTTTTAAGAAATGATCTGCAGGCGCCTGGGTGGCTCAGTGGGTGAAGCATCTGACTCCTGATTTCAGCTCAGGTCATGCTCTCAGGGTCATGAGATCGAGCCCCTCACTGGGCTCCACACTCAGCTGGGGGTCTGCTCCTCCCCGCCACCACTCACACATGTGCACGTTCTCTCTTAAATAAATAAATCTTTAAAGAGAGAGAGAGAGAAGATCTGGGCTTGGCCTTTAAGGCCAGGAATGAGGGGGGATTCTGACTTTAGATGTCCATGGCCCTCCCTAGTGGGAGAAGCACTATGGGAGCCCAGAGCCCTGACCTACACCACGATGCTGCCCTCGCCCCCCTTCTTCCAACCTTCTACTGAAAGGAAAACAACACTGCACACTGCAGACACCCTAGGCAGGGAAGCCCTCCTCAGAGA